CCGGATGATTGGAACGATCGCGAACATTCTGAATCATTTACATGCGTGCTAAGAAAGAGGCCATTGAAACAACGCCCGCTCAAGGTGTCTAAGATACATCCCGTCTCATACAGGTACGTTCACGGTACAACCAAAGCGATCTATGCAGCCCCTACCTCGTCATTCTACTGCTGACTTTTTCTTTGCAGTCGCCGACTTATTCTTGAGATATACACGGAGGAAGTCAGCCGTAACCCAATTGTTTTCGTACTTTGCCAAGAACGGATGATCATTGGCTGCCTATTCCACACCTCAGCAAGGAGGTGAGACATAGCCAATGTGCCTCACCAGTATGTAGACCGATTGAAGGTCTTGGAGTGACTGCTTGGAGAATGACGAATGCGTCTGCAAATGCGCATCTGCTAAATAATGCACACAATTCTGACAACAAGAAGCTGAAGACAGGGCGCAAGATTTCAAAGGAGATATCTGACCTGTACTTGTGCATACAGCACCTCTTTCCAATGCAAAGTGTCACGGAGATTATAGCCACCATGACCGATGTGAGTGACTTCTCCGCTCGGCTTTGGAATCGTTGTTAAGGAACTGAGTAGGACCGCCATACTGATATGAAGAGGTGTGGTCTCCGAACTGAACTCGTGATGAGCGGGCGAAGGCAGTGGCGTAATCAATCATTCAGAGCTAAAACGAACACACATGGAATGAGGGAGATAGTGACGCTGAGTGCGGTAGGAACGGCGAGAGGGAGGCATGACGACTAAATGGAGCTTGTGTGATTGAGACACTTGGCCGCTTGAGAAAGATGGTTTTGTTGCAGGTTTATATAGCGCCAGACAAGCGTGCTGAGGCTCTACGGCATTATCAAGAAGCTTGTGGTGGAGGGTGGCATTCGCACGATAGAGTGATAGCTAGTGATGCATAGCCTCATGTGGGCGGCCAGGATAATGGAAACAACGACGGCCAAGGAGCGACAGACAATAGACATCAGAGAGCAGAAGTGCAGGCACGACGAGTAGCCGGACCTGACGACGGTGAAAACTGTGGGCGTGAACAATTAGTGTCGACGATGTGAGGATAGCGGTCAGCCTACCTCACAGTGAGCGTACGCGATGAGCGGAGACGAGGAGCCGCTACTCTGAATCACCGGAGATGCAAGCGAGGGACAATGGGCGTAGATAGCGATGCGTGTTGGTGATCCAGAAGGCTTGGAGGGCCGGGCTGCAGTGCTCAGTGTTCAAGTTGTTTTCGGAAAAGGATGGACGGACGTACTCATGCCTGTAAACCCCCTCACGGCCGACTTGTGCGGCGAGTTCTGGCTGTGTTGGGGCTCATGAGCATTGTATGGCGAGTGGCGTCGGTGATTGCAGTGCTCGCTGCCTTCTCACTCATTGGAGGGACGGCGGACGACGTCTGCGTGTCGTACGGCATGTGGCTGTCTCCGGACGTTGATCGTGCTCGCTGTCTCGCTCGTTTGAGGGGCGGTGGGTGGAGGCGTCCGCACGTCGTTATTCAACCATCTCAGTTATCCGATCTCAGTTATTCGATCATCTAATGCGGTTCCCTCAGCCTCCGCTTGCTGACATCGCATGTCCCAACTGACACCGACGACGCCAACGGCGCTGATGATGCGGTGAACTCAATGGACAGCCCGCCACCCACCCAAGTGGGTGGCGGCCACCACGAGCGCAGATGAGAGAGCGAAAAGAAGAAACGTCACACGTCATGGGTATATTTGAACGGCAGAGTTTAGGGCAGGTGCACATTTGAGTGGCGTGAGAACTATCAGTGGCGTGGAAACAGCCTATCTGGAGTGAGTGGCAGCACCAGGCGATCACGCCACTGGGGGATTGAGTGGTGTGAGAACTACAGGTGGCGTGCGAACCATTGTCGGGCCGCTCGGCCTGGCGCTCGACAAATCCCCAGTGGCGTGAAAAACGGCACTCGCCTGGTGCCTGTTCGCACCCACCTGTAGTTCTCACACCACTCAAATGTGCACCTGCCCTAAACTCTGCCATTCAAATATACCCACGACGTGTGACGTTTCTTCTTTTCGCTCTCCCATCTGCGCTCATGGTGGCTGCCGCCCACTTAGGTGGGTGGTGGGCTGTCCATTGAGTTCACTGCATCGTCGGTGCCGTTGGCGTCGTCGGTGTCGGTTGGGACATGCGATGTCAGCAAGCGGAGGCTGAGGGAACCGCATTAGATGGTCGAATAACTGAGATCGGATAACTGAGATGGTTGAATAATGACGCACGGACGCCTCCGCCCGCTGCCCCTCAAATGAGCGAGACAGCGAGCACGATCAATGTCCGGAGACAGCCACACGCCGTATGACGCGCAGACATCGTCCACTGTCCCTCCAACGAGCGAGAAGGCAGTGAGCACTGCAATCACCGATGCCACTCGCCATACAATGCTCATGAGCCCCGACACAGCCAGGACTCGCCGCACAAGTCGGCCGTGAGGGGGTCTACACGCAGGAGTACGTCCGTCCATTCTTTCCCGAAAATAACTTGAATACTGAGCACTGCAGCCCGGCCCTCCAAGCCTTCCGGATCGCCAACACGCATCGCTATCTACGCCCATTGTCCCTCGCTTGCATCTCCGGTGATTCAGAGTAGCGGCTCCTCGTCTCCGCTCGTCGCGTACGCTCGTCGTGAGGTAGGCTGACCGCTATCCTCACATCATCGACACTAATTGTTCACGTCCACAGTTTTCACCGCCGTCAGGTCCGGCTACTCGTCATGCCTGCACTTCTGCTCTCTGAAGTTCGCTAGCCCCGACACAGCAGCGCTCGCCGCACTCGGCCGTGAGGGGGTTTACAGGCACGAGTACGTCCGTCCATCCTTTCCCGAAAACAATTTGAACACTGAGCACCGCAGCCCAGCCCTCCAAGCCTTCCGGATCGCCAACACGCATTGCTATCTACGCCAATTGTCCCTCGCTTGCATCTCCGGTGGTTCAGAGTAGCGGCTCCTCGTCTCCGCTCGTCGCGAGGTAGGCTGACCGCTATCCTCACATCCTCGACGCTGATTGTTCACGTGCGCAGCCCCGTGGCTCACCTTTAACGCCTTAATGTCACGCGCGAAGGTGATTCGTTATCTGTCTATACCGGTGATGCGTTCATCTCCCTCGCTGCTTTACCGAGTAATGTCTATTGTCCCCCATTTGGCCCAGGATTGCTTCCGAGCGGTGTTGTCATTGTCTCCGTCGGCTCATCCGTCAAGCAACGCAATGCTCGTACGCGTCAGGCTGATGGAACTTGTGCACGGTAGTGAGGTGCCATGTTTTCGCTTGTGTCTCCGCTTGTTGTCCGCGGTATATATGTACAGCTCTGCTCACAAGTGCCAGGTGATCCAGTTGGTCCTTGGAGAACGACGCCAGAACAAAGCGCATCATGTCTGCCATTCCGAATGGCTGGCACACCACGGTCGGCTCTATGTTTCACCAACTCCTCTTTTTCTGATGAAGGTTCAGGTTGCTCCTCAACAAATAGACGTAACTCCCACAAATGTGACCAATAATCCTTGGGTCAATATAACCGTTAGTGTTCTGTGGAATTTGGTTCAAGATCCTCAACCTGACTAGGCATCATAGCATGAAATGTATCGAGAGTCACTGGACATGGCAGACAGCGAACCACCCCAAGGACAAGTGAGTAATTGATGGCGTTACTGGCTACATGCGATGCTTATTCGTTCAAAGCTCTCGGAAGAACTCTCCAGCGATGAGGAGCGAGAAGTGCGTGGAGCCATATTGTCTCATGAAGAGTACATTGCTCCTAGTTTAACGAGCGGTGGCCAAACGGTGCATGTGAAGTGCTGCCCACGTCAAAGGTTACCGGCTTATTGCTCTATAAGCGTTCCTTCGGCTTCGTTTCTGAAACGACTGACTTCCAGAACAACGGTGGTATGCAACATCAGCCGGCTTTGTATGCAGGCAGATTCGTCAACGCATCGCAATCGCATACAAGGCATGATGTCGTAACCGAAGAAGTGAGCATATCATCTGCATCTCGTTTCATGCTTGACTGATTGGTTTTTGTAGTATGAAAGTGATCTCGCCGTTATGGAGTTACAATATGGGTCTTTCGGTGTTCAAAATGGCGCCGCGATTGATGATTCCTCGCCCGAAGTTGTGTTTCAGTTTAATAATCACCCAGGCATCCAAACGTCCAACGTCCTATGGACAAAACAACTGCACAATCACTTCCCCATGTTTCACTGGTGTCGCGACCACCACCAGATAATGTTCTATCAGCTGCAGTAGGCTCTACGCTTGGCCCCTCCTCAAGTGCTCCTGACTTTGGCATGTCGGGACCTGCTATCGAAGAAACCGATCTAGCGAAACTGATGCAAGCAATGTCTCTTGCTGTGGCAAATGGTATCAAGGAAGGAGTACAGAGAGCACTGAAGGTGGTAGATGCACAAAAGTCCAACAACAGGCCCGGTGGTGTTGTCAGCAAACATCGCAACGTCGCTGGGGAATCTGTGCAGATGGAGCTTGATGAGGACGAATATTTTGGAGACGCCGATGAACGCAAAACTCTTACCGAACGGACGAAAAGTCGGAGAGGTCCGCGGGATAACAACGCCCTCAATGTGAGTTTTCCCATTACATGGCCATGGCTGTCGCCGCACTTTGACTCGTTCAACAGGCACGATTCAGACAGTATCTTCGGAGTAAGGGTGTTCTACCCATCGATGGTGGTTTGCCAGTTGGTGCATCGCCCTCTGTGGTCAAAGCCTTCATTGATGGAACTGGGGATGGACCTGACATTGCAATGCCACTCGTCGATTGGACCAGTGAGTTAAGTTCTCAGTGAAACAGAGAGTTGATCCTGCTCCTCTCCCGAGAATTCCTCAATCGAATCAAGTCGGGCTTAGAATTTCCTTTGCTCTTCGATCCTGAAGCCATGACAGAGACAATTTTAATGCGCTCTTGCACCGCGAAATTGAGGCGCGTGCATGCACAAGTCCGTCATGCAGGTTCTGACGAGTGGAAGAAAAGAAAAGTCAATGATGCGGCAGCACTGCGTCGCAATATGCGTCGCCAGGGCGTGAGTTTTAAACCTGCATTGTGAACCACTCTATTGACCTAGCATTCTGTAGATATTCATGAGACGTGCCCAGGTCGTCAACGCGAACAAGCGTAGCTCACCGACTTTATGGAGCGCCGTCGAGGATGTCTTAGAGAAGCTTGAGGTTGCCGGGATGAGCTCAGATCACACGGACGAAGAAGCTAGCAGTCGCCACAAAGTCGTTCACAGAGCGCGCTTGCTGTGGC